CATATATATATATATATATATACATATATACATATATATATATATATATATATATATATATATATATATATATATATATATATATATATGTATATATATATATCTGACATAAAGTATATAGATTAAAGAAAAATGCATAAAGCACCAGAGCCAAGAATTTTGACATCAAAACTTTCTTTTTTACTCCATAAACTCATCAAAAATAGTTGCCTGCTGACTTCAAGATGAAACTAGACAATGAGAAAAGTAAAACTAATTTCCATTTAATATCTTATCACGGACAATTCCTACTTGTGGCATTCAAGCTAGAATTCATGTTTAGATAATTGATTAAGCACATTGAATTGCTTTGTTAATATAATATGCATTTAAACCAAAAAATGCCAATTTGACCCAATTCTCATCTGACCTCTAAATTGGAGGACCAAAAAAGTCTTTGTTGCATTAGGCATGCGATAGTTCTCACACCCTCATGACCTATGTGGGATTTGGGAAGGATCCAACATATGTAATCCCATCGGTTGTTCCCGAGACTTGAATTCTAAAGCTTCATACAATATACACAATTTTTCTCGAAAAATCACGATGAAGAAAAATGTTTATATCAATTTAAAACCATGGACGAATTTTGGTACACGTGCCATATTGTTGTTCTGCATGCTATTGAAACCACTGATTCACGACACTCCCTCACAAGAAGGATTGCAAAAAATCTTGCATCAGATGTTTAGATTTCAACTTTTATGCATTCCATCTTCTCCGACGTTAATCCTCGGGAACCGAAACTTAGTTTTCTTAAGTAGTAAAGCTTGTCCAATAGAGATACGTGTTGTCATTCTATTCAGAAGAAGATCAAACTTTATATAACATATGTTAGTTCTTCAAAGAAAAAGCAACCGATGAATAAGATAAGAGAATCAATTAATGGATCTCAACTTTGGTGTGGACGATTAAGTTGCTCGTGATCGTCTCTATAAAGCAAGACCAACACAAGTAGTTTAGAGGTTCTTAAACCGTAACCTGCACACAAACACACCCACAGAGAGAGAGAGAGAGAGAGAGAGAGAGAGAGAGACGGTGGATACGAATAAAGCGACAAAGGCCACCGACACCTTTGGGCACCATGAGGGATGTTTTTGCTTTGGTGCAGCAACAGAATGCATCTCTATGTAGATCATGTCTTGCCTTCTTTATATAAATAAAGTGGCTCCAACTACAGAGCAGCTACGTAATGCTCAGAGTGCATTATCATCATCATCATCATCATCAGCAGCAGCAGCAGCAGAAGCAGCAGTAACAGCAGCAGGAGGTCGGATGATGTGAGGGAAGGGATTGCATCCCACTTGTCTTCTTTAGGTGGAATGAGATGTTTGTCTTACTAGAACAACGCAGAAAGCAGACCAATATGTCCTCTCCGGCAAAGATCTGGGGACCAGCGAAAGAAAAGAACAAGCCGAGGCGTTATTTGTGTTGATCAAAAGCAGGAAGCCATCACCCCCTGGCTTCCCATGCACACTTGCGGGATCTCCCTTTTACTGTTCCCATGAAAGCTACTTCTACTCGAGTTGTAATGTTTGCACTACATGTCCAGCATGAATTGTCCAAAGCACATATATTTTTACGTACATATGCAGCACATACACTTGTGTGGTCAGCATAAAGACTGAAACATGATTGCATGTTGGTGTAGGTTTCCCATTCCTATTGCTATTAGTTCTACACATTCATAATTTTTAGGTCATAATTATCTCATAAGTTCGCGATTGGGCCATATTATATACTTATGAATAATAGATCTAATCATGTATCTAAAACTTTCATCCTCTTTAAACCACTCGTATGCTAGGGTTGAAGTCAACTGTCTACTGTCGAAAATGGATTTCGAGCTTTGGACAATTGTCGAAAATGGATTTCAAAAATTTTTTCTTCCGATGAGCGAATGGGATGAATCGGAGAAGAAGATTTTTGCTTTAAACACAAAGGCTATGAATGCCTTGTTTTGTGCATTAGACAAAAATGAATTCAATTGTGTTTCAATTTACGATTCGACTTTTGATATTTGGAGAACTCTTGAGGTCACTCATGAAGGCACTAGCCGAGTGAAAGAATCCAAAATCAACATTCTTGTGCACTCTTACGAACTTTTTCGAATGAAACCAAGTGAGTCCATCGGAGACATGTATACAACCGTTTCACGGATGTCATCAATGGACTCAAAGCTTTTGGTAAAGATTTTTCTAACTTTGAACTTGTAACGAAAATCTTAAGATCCCTTCTTAAAAGTTAGGATCCAAAAGTTACGGCCATTCAAGAGGCCAAGGACCTTAAAATATTTTCTCTTGAAGAACTTATTGGGTCTCTAATGACCTACGAAATGATGTGCTATACTCATGAAGAGCTCGAGAACCCCCTTCCAAAGAATAGGAAGGATATGATGCTCACATCACAAGAAGACCACTTGAAAGGAACAACAAGTGATGAGGACAGTGACAATGACATTGTACTTTTAACTCAAAAATTTTAAAAATTTATAAGAAAGAACAAATTTAAAAATAACACCAAAAACAGACTTGAACATAAAATGGACCAAGTGATATGCTACGAATGCAAGAAGCTGGGGCACTTCAAAAATGAATGCCCCCAAGCCAAGAAGAAGCAACCAAAGAAGAAGAAAGCTCTAAAAATGACTTGAGACGATTCAAGTGATTCCGAAAGTGAAGAAGCTAGCAACAAAGAGAA